GTGCCTGGGTGGCTCAGTCGGTTAAGTGTCTGCCTTCGGCTCAGTTCATGATCTCAGGGTTCTGGGATCAAGTCCCTCATCAGGCTCCCTGCTTAGCGGGGAGCCTCCTTCTCCCTCTCCCCTGCTCATGCTCTCTCACTCATTCTCTCTCTCTCAAATAAATAAAATCTTTAAAAAAAAAGAAAGAAAAATCCTGCCATCCACTGCAACCCTTGCAAGTTAATTCTTGTCTCTTCTCTCTCACTCCAGGTTTCTCTGTCTACTGTCTGGCCTAGGTTCCGTGGTCCTTTATTTCAGTCTGTCATATCACTTGACCTGTAGTCCTTTTGCCCAGTTTACCCAGAAGAACCTCAAACTAACCTCTTCCTCCTCTGCTCCAACTCCCAGACCGCTGAGCCTATAAAGCTGATCAAAGTTCTTTATCCTAAAATCTCTCCTTTCAGACTCAGTACTCTCCAGTCCTATTTAGGAAAGGAAGAGAAGTCACCAGACCTCCTTCTACCAAGGTATCTTATCAACCTGTCACTGTGGTTGTGGTAGGCAGAGTTATACTAAAATATAAAATAGCCTCTAAGACTTTTGTCCGAATCTGTAGAACTGTTACTATAATGGATTTTACTCCCATGATTAAATTATAATACACAGTTGACCTTTTCAAAGGGTGCAGGGGTGTAAGGCGTGGCCTCTTACCCCAGTTGAGACAATTCTTCAGGATCATTGCAGCTCAGGAGCTCCTGGTGGGACTTTGGCTAAGGTCTTTGTTGTTACTGCATCACATCCATACTTCTTCCCTATGCTTAATCATGCTTTCTTTGCCCCTTCAGAGATTTTATTCCCTGTAGCACTCCCCACTAAATTTCCTGCACACAAATCTTCATGTCAGAGTCTGACCCTGAGGAACTCAGTGTGCCAGGGGGTACAATAACTGCTTGGCAAAATGAAAGGGAAGGTGTTGGGATGTACCCTTCATCTTGGACTTATTTCCAAACTTATGCTTGACTTCTTATCTAGCCTCTAGAATAAAAGTAAGACTTTGGGAAGGATTACAAAGCAGGCACAGTGTTTATTGGACCAGTCCTCTTTTTGTGCTTGCTCTTCCATATACCGGCATTACCATCTTCCCCACCTTCTAGGGTCCAACATCTTCCCGGTAGCCAGAAAGCCCCAGTTATGGTCCATTTAAGTGCCTTGAGTTAGTTCACCCACAACACTTGAAACTCATTTCACAGGTGTAAAAAGAGCGATCAGATTCAACTCATACTAACACATTAATGAAAAGCCATACTCTTTAATCTTCTCATGGGGATTTATAGGTAAATGAATCAGATTGTTGGAATTTGAATGAATCAGACTTGTTAGTGGGGAGTTAGAGTAGTGGAATGCCTTCCTGGTTCCCAGATAAGCAAGGAAGTTGGATTATATGGACTCAAGTCTTCCTTATTGTTCAGTTACTCCAGCTAATGCATTCCTACCTCAGCCTTCCCACTTCAGTTATGTTCTGGGCTTGGAATGATGGTGGGAATAGTGACAAGGCCAAAACTGTTCATCTGAATTGACACCAAGCCATTCATTCACAAATATTTGAGTGCATATGATGTGCTAGGCTCTATACTAACTATTCCATGGAGCTACTATAGCCCTAAGGAATACATGGTCTCAAGGGTGAAAATGTTGTAAGTCTCCTGTTATGTCATGTCATGTCATGGGCTACGAAAGTGAAAATGCAGATGTTACTAAAACACACAGGAGAGTCCCATACTGCAGCCATGGATGGGGATAGGCATCACAGATGTTTTCCTAGATTACCTACCCGACCTTTTAGGTAGGGGTTAGGAGGGAGATAAGTCACAAACCTTATCATAAGACCAGCTTTAGAAACCCTATTACCTTTTGCTTAACTTTTTGCATCTCATCCGAAAACGTAGAGTGTTATCACTTTGTACCATCTCCTTAACCCATCTGGAGAGTTAACTTTATTACCACAGGAAGTTAAAAATACAGTTAAAAAATATAAAAATAGAGTAAACAAATATAGGTAACTCATCACTGGGCAACTCAGAAGCAACACTGAGTGAACCCATCCATAGCTATCAAAATATTGTTCATACGATCACCCAGAAAGCCCTTCCAGGAAGCAACCCTAGCCTTTCCACATCTGCCCTGTTCTTACAAATACCCTTAAACAGCCTTCATCCACATATAAACATTTTGGCACCTAGTCACAGACTTAACCTGTACCATTTATTGGGAAAATATTGGTTCCACAAATTAACCATATAGGTTGTAGGTTCTGAGTATAAGGAGCTCTTGTCTCCCTTGTTTCTATGAGTGTACACTGGAAGTAAGTAAAATATACTACAACCCACAAATGGACATACCAATCAGTGGAGCTACTATAAGCCTCATTTCCATTTATAAAAAAATAAATAAGGTACCATCTCTATCATCAGGGTAGTTCCTGTTTATGGAGAATCCTTCATCTCTTTATTCTGTCCTCAACTCCACCATCCTTTTCCCCATATGTAAAGGTCCCTGGAGATTATAAGACAGTAATATACCTGGCAGAAGTATTCATGAATGACCCAGCTCTACTGGTGGTGTTACCAGTGATGTGGCCATTTTGAGAGGGGAAGAAAATGCTTGAGAATCACACACTTATGCAATTCAATTTATTTGCTGTTTTAGTTCTTTTAATTCCAAAGGCTTTACAATGTCACATTTTCTTTTTGTTGGTATAATCGCTTTCTTAGTTCAAATCAAGGGATGATCCTGTGTTCTAAGCCACCATGACGATGTACTATTTAGCTCTTCTATGTAGCTGGAACACAGCAATTTGTTTCCTGTGAAATAACAACAGAATAAAAGAGTTCCTTAAATTAGCTGTATAACAAACTGAAGATATACAGAGAATCATGACTAATATCTTTAGCTTTCATCTTTAGGATAAAGTTAAAGGTCTTAACATTTTGTCTGAGCATGATTATCTGTCTTTTCTTATGACCACTATAGGGCAGGAATGGCCTTGAAAGGGCCAAAAACCACTTGCTCCCTGACACCCCAGGCCTAGGGGTTTGTAGGTGTGGCAGGGATACTCAACCCCAAGACTCAGTGTGAAGAGAAGCCTGTCATGCTACTAAGCCCCTTAAGGGAGACCCTGAACTTCCAGTACCCAGCTCTCCCAGCTCTAAACTGGGACACTTTTTTTTTTTTTTAATATTTTATTTATTTGACAGAGACACAGCAAGAGAGGGAACACAAGCAGGGGGAGTAGAAGAGGACAAGCAGGTTTCCCACGGAACAGGGAGCCCAATGAGGGGCTCGATCCCAGGACCCTGGGCTGAAGGCAGACGCTTAATGACTGAGCCACCCAGGCACCCCTAAACTGGGACACTTTGATAAGCCACCAGGATAAGTCACAAAATCCCATATAACCCACAACAGACTACCATTAACAGCCCTGGGAATTAAATGTGGAAAATCAGCATAAAAATGACATTCCACAGGACTGAAAGGCTTTGGCTCCAATCTACTTGTAAGCGGGGATCTATAGATCTACAGGTCTATAACGCAGTCAGAATGCTGCCATTTTTCACTGCCCGCAAGCAGTGTTAGTTCTGGAGGGCAGAACACACACAGAGTAGGAAACCCCAAACAAAGCCCTAAAAGCTGAGACACCCAAATTGGACACAGGGTAGATACCAACCTCTGTACCTGCTGTCTATTTCCTAAACTTTATAGCATCTGCCCTGAATCTGTTTGAAACTTTGTAAGGTACCTCGGTTTTCCATCTCTCACAGTTACCTGACGGAAGAAGTGATTCATACGTTAAATAACCCAAGTTACTTAAAAACCAAAGGGAAAAACAAAGCAAGAACACACCCTTCATGAAAAAAATCTCTTGTTCAAGATATTATTATTCTGTATCATTCTACAGTCCTTGGCAGAAAAAAAAAAAAAATCAAAATAATGGACACAGTGAGACAATTCGGCCTGAAAATTATCATCTTAACTGTGTAACCAAGAGTAAATTAAAGTTATCTTCTTCACAGGGCTGTGATAGGGTGGAAAAAACTGATTCCTACACACTGATGGGAAATGACAGCAGAGGCAAATGAGACTTTGAGAAGACTAAAGGTAAGATGGACAGTGTTTTGGTTTAGAAACTAAGACTGGAACTTAATTACGGGGGTCGTTATGCATCCCATTATCACTTACCCGCTTCATTTCATTTTTGCACCCCAGGTCTAATCTTCCCCTGGGCTGTACTCTGGGCCCATCCAACTCATTTGAGCCCCCTCCCTAAACATAGGGTGGTCCAAACTCAAGCTTCAACCAGGTGTACATGACCTGTTAGTCCAGTCCTCCCACTGACAACCACACAGTAAAGCAAAAACAATTTCCCTTCCCAAGTTTACTTTTCCATGGATGTTACCATTTTCTCTAGGTATTCAAGTTCAAACCCCAGCCTTTTTTTTCTTAAAGAGTCAGTTTTGTTAATGGATTCTCTGAGATGCATATCTTTTACTCCCATGTGAGTTAGGACCCTCATCACTTTATATCCAATGTTCAATTAAACTGACTTTATACAGGGATTTCATCCATACAGACAGGCTTCAAATTCTTCCTACACTGTACTGCTAGCTGAAGATGCCTAGTACACATTTCTTCCTGCCTTTCTCTATCCAGTTTTCTTTTGGCACCTCCTTATTGCCTACAGGACAAAAATCTAAAAAGGAAGATTTCCACTATTTTAGCCTATTCTGCTCAGACCCACTTTCCCAACTCATCACAGGTCTCCCCTCTGGCTGGCTGTTCTCAGGCTCAATCCCTGGAACACACTTGACCTGCCCTGGCTGCCCATTTGAGCCCATGCTACTCTCTCCATTCTCACTCCAAACCACAGCCCCCAAATTTGTATCAAAATTCACCGCCTCCACATGGACTGCGTGTTCTCAGCAACTCCATCTAGATCTATGTCCATGATTCTTCTCTCTCTCAGCCCCCCTGTCCTTTACCACCACCCAGCTCTCCATCATCTCCTACAGTTCTTTGTTTCAAATTATATTACAGTTTCCTAGAATGCAGGACCTCAAACCTGGGATCTCTGCCAATCCTACAAACATGGGCACCTACAGTTGTTGAAGAACATACTTTCAAAATGGAGAAATAGTATTGATCTATGATGGCCTTTGCATCCAGGACCCAGTATGGAACCACCACAGACAACCACACAGGACAAGCCCGTTAGTCACTTACATTCCCAGGCCTTGTGAGAGGCTCTCTTGGACTCCAGTCCCTCTCCTCGGAACCTGCCATTCTGTCCTGTCACTTCGCATACCATGGGGATGCTCTCGTATTCTCCAAGCTTTAACCTGTACTTATTTCTGGTGGGCCACACAATAAGTTGGGGAGGCAGAGAGCACTCAGGTGGCAGCCTGATGATCCTGCCAGCCTCACGATAAATCCTTCCTTTGGAAGATGTCACAGGGCCCAGTGGACTAACTTCTTCAAAGAGGCATTCTGTCTCATACATTTCATCTTCAGCTTCCTCTTCCAACTCACAGTCTTCTGAATCCTTGGGAAGTACAGTGTTCAAGGCAGCATTTTTCTTCAATAAGTAGACTGTGTTCCCACTTGAGAAGTTGCTCAGGGATTTCTGCTTCCTGCCTTTCACAGTTTTTTTAATCTTTGCACACTTTTTGAAGTTCTCATGATCCTCCTCCTCAATCTCATCATTCACGGTCATTTCTGCTTCATCTGTTTTCAACTTCCCATTCGTGATGGTCTTCCATGATCCCTTAGTTTTGCAGTCTGGTGATGATTCTTCATCTTTGCAAGGCATTTGCTCAGGGGATTTCTCCAGCTCTGCATCCTGCCACCAGCTCCTATCACACTGAATCCCTTCATCCACCCCCCTGCTGTTCATCTGGGCCAACCAGGCAGGGCGAGGAACATACTTTGAATAGCTGTCCCTCTCTACCACCTCATCCAGTTCCCCACACCTGACTGCCTCTTCTTCTGTTGGCTTTCTGCTTTCTGGTGAGGACTCAGGGGATTTCCCGTGCTCTGCATCCTGCCAGTGGCTCATATCACATTGAATGCCTTCAGTGACCTGGCTGAACTGGGCCAGGGAGGTAGGGGGAAGGACATAATTCTCAGGGTAGCTGTTGCTCTCTACCACTTCACCTTCGTCCACTTTCACAGGGAAGCCACGGCCCCCACTACCATTGTCTGGCATGCTTTCCCCAAAGCTAATGGGACTCCGGGATTTGGACTCTAGGCTCAGGTCCTCAACGACTTTATTGCTGGAACAGACTGGCCTTTCCTGCTGGAGCTTATTGCCATCTCCAGAAGACTGGCACAGATTGGAGTTCAGGCTATCCTGGACTTCATCTTTGTCTTTCGCTTCATCTGGAGAGGACAGGAATTGGGGAACAGCTGCATAGCCTTTTTCTTTACCCAAGTTCATGTCCATGATGGAACCCAACTTTACCACCTCATCACCTCTTACATCATGACACTGCTCCGACCAGATAGTGCTTTCTTCATCGTTACACGTAATGCCATCTGCACCCTCGTGACGGTTACGAAGCACACTTGTACTCTCACGAGAACTCTGTGACATCCCACCATGCTGCACCATGATGTCTGGCATGGCTTTACCATAAGCTAGGTCATACAAACGGACAGTTTCCTTCAAAGTCTCCCAGAACTGTGTTACAGGGGATCCTCTGCTCTGTTCTAGCCTCATTTTCCCTTTCCCAGATGCATAGTTTACTTGAGGTGATGTTCTATACACAGTGTTAGGAGAAGGGCTCTCACCATGTAGCTGCGGCTTCTGGGCTACAGATGAAAAGAACCCATCTGTTGGTTCAGGAATGTTGTCAGTTTCTGTGTCAGTATTAGAAGTCGGGATACTGGTCACCATACCACCTTCTGAGTGGGTGTCTTGTTTCTGAGTCCTGTTTTCAGCCTGATGAGGTTCAGTCTGAGTCTCTTTCGTCTTCGTTTTCTTTCCATAGCCACTACACTGACGGAACTGTGCTGTGTTATAGAACACAGGTCTTCGGTTAAGCGCAGTGGGCAACGGGGACTGAGGGATGAGGAAGCCAGGAGACTCACTGAGTACCACTGAATATGGAAAATACAGACTTCCATTTCTGAAACCTAGGAAGAGAACACAGTAGTTAGCCACTCGGTCTCCCGCAGCCAGTCACAACATTCAGCCGGTACGCAGTCACGTGGCCACACCGATTGGTAAAATACGCAGTTTCTTCCATGCCAGTTGGTAGCTACTGGCCCCCACTTCTCCCTGGATATCCTCAGGATCTGAACGGTGGGACCTCCAGAATCCTCCTTCACCACAAGAGCAAGCATCTCTCTGATGGGTTGGTTGCCAGGCCATCAGATAGTCAGCATATTATGAATCACCCCTACTTAGTAGTGACTTTTTCAGAGAGACCTAGCACCCACCAAGCATAATTCAGGATTGTTGTGGCTGAGGAAAGAATAATTGTGTCAGCTCTGATAGAGCAAAATTCTTTGTACGTACAAGCCTTTCTAAACCTGTTCATTCAGCACTATTCATTCACACACACACACACACACCTCCCATTTTCTTCTCTTTAGGGGTAAACAGGACAATGGTGCCAATAATGCCAGAAACATTACTGTCATACATATTCACATGGGGAAAGGCATTTGATTTTGCAAGACAGATTTATACAACTGACAAATGAAGTTAAAACTTCTACCTTGCATATAAAAGCAATAATTATATTCAGATCAATGTTCATCAGGCAGTTTACTCAATATTGAGGTTGATCTTATGAACTCAATTTCACTGTTTAAGACTGCATCATAATGCCTCTTGGGCCTGGCCTAATGTATTTATACATAAAAGTATATGGGTTTCTTTCTTTATAGAAAGGAAGCAGACAAGTCTCAGCTTGGACTTCAACATTGTCTGCAAAGGTTAGAAGCCAACAGAATGAAGTTCATGAGTCAGATAACTTCCTACCATACATGTTGTACTGTATCATACAATGGACCAAAATACCTTAATGTAGCTTCCTGCCACTAGCATCCATCCCAGGTCCCTATTCAACTACCCACTGCAAAAACATAGGTGTTAGAGTTCTTATTTTGTCCCTCACTAATCAGCAAAATCTGTGGCTACTCTTTGTAATACCTTCCCTCTTGTGCTACCATGCACAGGAATTTAAAGTCATCTCCACGTTTTTACCTCAGTAACTACTACTAGTAACTTCCTTGACCCATCTCCCTGACATTCATAGGTCTGTAATCCATACTAGTTACAGAATTTTCCTTCCTTCCTTTCTTCCTCTCTCCCTCCTTTTGTTGGATGTAATCTCCACACCCAATATGGGGCTCGAACTTGCAACCCTAAGATCAAGTTGGATGCTCTCCCACCTGAGCCAGCCAGGCACTCCCAGAATTATCTTTCTGACTCAAATGTGACCCCTCACTTGAGAGACAGTATTTGAAGTATTGTCACTGCCAGTCAGGAAATGAGGAACAATGACCACATTCCTTAGGATGCCATAAAAGCCCTCATTATTCTGATTTGTCACCCTATCATCTTACTCTCCCACTAAGCCTATATGCTCTAGCCATATGTGGGTTCCTTCACAGGCTAACTTCTCTTCACTTTTCTGGGACATTCTCCTTCCCTACTTCTTCCACTGCTACCAAAACCTTTTGTTTTTTAAGTGGAAATCTTGCCATTTGTGACAGTAGATGGACCTTGAGGGCATAGTCCTAAGAGAAGCTGGACAGAGAAAGACAAATACCGTATCATCCCACTTCTATGTAAAATCTACAAAAGATGAACTCAGAAACAGTAGAATAGTGGTATATCAGGGGCTGGGTGGTGGGGTTTATGGGGAAATGTTGGCCAAAGGCAAAAGAAAACTAATTCATCTTGTTATACAAAGGAGGGTACTGAGGCAAAGAGAATTTAATATTGATTCAAAATCAGCCGATTTAGGGGCACCTGGGTGGCTCAGTCGGTTAAGCATCTGCCTTGGGCTCAGGTCATGATGCCAGGGTCCTGGGTTCGAGCCCCACATCAGGCTCCTTGCTCCGTAGGGAGCCTGCTTCTCCCTCTGCCTGCTGCTCCCCCTGCTTGTGCTCTCTCTCTCTCTTTCTCAAATAAATAAATGAATTAATAAATCTAAAAAAATTAAAACAAACCCCCCCCCAAATCAGCCTATTTATAAAAGCATGAATTGGCCCTCTATTTCAATTGTACAACTATGTGTACTGCATGTCTAATTAATGTTTAAAGCTGGTAGAGTTTCTAATTGTATGTAAGAAGAATATGGAAGAAGTTTGGAAGTCACTTACTCTGAACAAAGTAAAAAGCTCAACTGAAAAATCAAGAATTTTTCCCAGATACTTCATAGCAGTAGGTTACAGGGCAAAGTGCTATCCCTAATGTTGGAGAGATATGTGAATGTAGACAAGCACAACTTACAGGAGCAGAAACCCAAGAGAAAAAAATTCCATGGGAAGTAGTAGTAGGGTAGGGAAACCTGAACTGTTATTGACAAATTGCAGGCTCAGGATGAATAAATCTGAGAGTTAAAAACTTCAGGGGGACCCATTCATAAGGAACCCTCCCCCCCCAACTTTGTTTTGAGTTTTATCTATAGTAGCTCAACCAGTTTCTTACAGGAAATCTAGGAAAGAAATCCCAAAGGAAGAGTAGGGAAGAGAAACCACTGTGACATACACAAGGAGTACTCTATTCCTACCAACACTGGACCTCAGGACAAGCTAGTTAAACAGAGGCTAATTGATAAGGAGGTAGGCAAATACTTATATCAGACCCACCCTAACCACCCTTCCCTATCCAATGGGTGGAGGAAGATGAAGTACATGCATAGTTCATAGTCCAGAGGCACAATCTCACTAAAAGACTGAGACCTAAAATCACAGTCCTTCAAGAACCATATGACTATGATCCCTGTCCCACCTCCACAACTTAACAAGTCACTAACGGCCTATTTAGAGCAGTTCCTTTTATCCAGTACAGAATGCCTGGCAATCAAGGAAACGTTACAAGATATACTAAAAGGCAAAACTTGTGTTGTCTGCAAAAAAATTCACTTTCAATATAAGACAGGGATGAAAAGTAAATGCATGGAGAAAGATGTTCTGTGCTAATACTAATCAAAAACAGTGGACAAGCTGTATTTCAGACAGAGCAGACTTCAGAGCTAGGAAAGTGATCAGGGATAAAGAGTGGCATTACATGAAACACCAATTCTTCAGTGAAGCATAACAGCCCCTAAAGTGTATGCCCTTAACAGAGGGTGAAACTATGTGAGGCAAAAAGTGATAGTACTGCAAGGAGAAACAGAATAACCCACTATTCCTATTGGGAGACTTTACACTCCTCTATCAGAATAGGACAGATGCAGTGGGTAAAAAAAATCAGTAAGAGTGGTTGAACTAAACAGCACCTTTAACCAACTGTAAATAACTGACATCCACAGACTGCTTCATCAGACAGAATAGGCATCTCATACCCATATGGAACATGCACCAAGACAGTCCATACCATGGGCCAGAAAACATTTCTACAAATTAAAAAGTATATTAATCATATAGTGTCTGCTCTTAGCCTACAACTGAGTTTAGAAAACAAAGATAGCTGTAAAATCCCCAAATACTTTGAGATTAAATACACTACTAAATAACACTGAATCAATGAAGAATTCTCAGGAGAAATTTAAAAAGATTTTGAATTAAATAAAATAGTACTTCTCAAAATTGAAGCAGTGCTTAGAGGGAAATTTACAAAATTAAAAAGTTCTGAAAATCAATCATACAGCCTCTAATTTAGGAAACTAGAAAATGAAATGGTAATTAAATCTGAAGAATAAGAAAATAAAAATTAAAGCAGAATTAATGAAATTGACAACAGAAAATCAATAGAAAAAAAAAAACCCAAAAAGCTGGTTCATTGAAAAGATCAATAAAGTTGATAAGCCTCCAGCCAGTTTACTGAGTAAAAAAAAAAAAAGGAAGACACAAATTACTAATCAGAAATGAAAGAGGGTACATCACTACAGATCCTATGGACAGTAAAAAGATGGAAAGAATACTATGAACTCTATTATCACAACTTTCAAAACCTAAAAAAATGGACCATTTCCTTGAAAGATAAAGTTGGCCAGACTCATACAAGTAGAAATGGACATCTGAATAGATCTTTATGTATTAAAGAAAATGAATCAATTAACTGATAACCTTCCAGAACAGAAAGTGCCAGGTCCAGAAAGGCTCACTGGTGAAGTCTACTAAACACTTAAGAAATTACAAATAGATCAATGTAGGATAGAAAAGAGAGCCTACACACAGACCCATATAAATATAATCAACCAATGTTTGACAAAGGAGCAAAGACAATACAATGGAACAAAGATAGTTTTTTCAACAAATCGTCCTGGAACTGGACATACACGTGCAAAAAGTGATCCTAGACACAGCCCTTGCAACAAACACCCTTCACAAAAATAAACTCAAAATGGACCACAGACCTCCATGTAAAATACAGAAACTGTTAAGACCTAGAAGAGAACACAAGAGAAAAACCTGGATGTCCTTGGGTATGGTGAAGACTTCTTAGACAAAATACCAGTGACATATATGATTCATGCAAGAAAGAACTGATAAGCTGACCTTCATTAAAATTTAAAACTCTGCAGGGCGCCTGGGTGGCTCAGTTGGTTAAGCGACTGCCTTCGGCTCAGGTCATGATCCTGGAGTCCTGGATCGAGTCCTGCATCGGGCTCCCTGCTTGGCAGGGAGTCTACTTCTCCCTCTGACCCTCCCCCCTCTCATGTGCTCGCTCTCTCATTCTCTCTCTCTCAAATAAAAAAAAAAAAATCTTAAAAAAAAAAAATTTTAAAACTCTGCAAAAGATACTGTCAACTAAATGAAAAGTCACAGATTGGGAGAAAATATTTATAAATACATACCTGATAAAGCACTGTTATCCAAAATATACAAAGAACCCTTAAGACATTAATAACCCGATTTAAAAAGAGACTGTAGACCTTAACAGGCACCTCATCAAAGAAAATACACAGACAAACCTTGCCAAATAAACGTATGAAAACATGCTCCACATCATATGTCATCAGGGAAATGCAAATTAGAGCAATGAGATACTATACAAGTACTAGAATGGCTGAAATCCTGAACACTGACAACATCCAATGCTGGTGAGGATGTGCAGCAACAGGAACTTGGATTGCTAGTGGAAATGAAAGATGGAACAAATGCAAAATGATATAAGATAGTGTGAAAGGAAAGTTTGGCAGTTTCTTGCAAAACTAAACATATTCCAAAACTTGGGAGAAACCAAGATATCCTTCAATAGATGAGTGGATGTATGTCATAATTCAGGCAATGGAATATTATTCAGCAGTAAAAACAAATGAGTTATGAAGTAACAAAAAGATATAAGGAAACTTAAAATGCATATTACTATGTAGAAGAATCCAATCAAAAAACTACATACTCTATGATTCCAACGATACAACTTTCTGGAATAGGCAAAGCTATGGAGCCAGTAAAAAGATAAGTGGTTGGGGGCACCTGGGTGGCTCAGTTGTTAAGTGTATGCCTTCGGCTCAGGTTGTGATCCCAAGGGTCCTGGGATCGAGCCCCGCATCGGGCTCCCTGCTCGGCGGGAAGCCTGCTTCTCCCATTCCCCCTGCTTGTGTTCCCTCTCTTGCTGTGTCTCTCTCTGTCAAATAAATAAAATCTTAAAAAAAAAAAAAGCCTTAGGGAGAATGGAGTCGTGAACAGGCAAAGGATTTTTAGGGCAATGAAACTATTCAATACAATATTATAATGGTGGAGAGCTTTCATGATGTATTTATCCAAAACCACAGAACATACAGCTCAAAGAGCACACCCTAATGTAAGCTTTGGGTGAAATGAAACATTGTAGGTTCACTGATTATAAAAATATACCATGCTGGTGAGGGATGTTGATAATGGGAGAGGTTATGCATGATGGAGGGTATATGGGAAATCTTTCTGCCAGAAAGTTGCTCTACAAAATAAAGCCTACAAAATACAGGTTTAGAGATCCTTGAATATGCATAGAATATATCCAGAAAGATACCCAAATCACTGGCAATATTTTCTGCCTCAGGGAGGGTACTGGGAAACTGCGCAAAGGGATTAAGAGGGAATGATTTCATTCCTTGTCTGTATACTATTTTAATTTTTAGCCCATGTATTTGGTTAGTTTTTCAATAAAAAAATGGTTTAAGCCAGTTTCAAGTGAAGAGATGTTCTGTTATTCATAAAATAGTTACACCTCTCATTCTGAATAATTCCTAGTCAAAATGACTAGGTACAAAATAAACCACAATAATCTGCCCTGTAGGTTAATACAACCAGGATGCCTTCAGTCTACTTGCTCAGCTGAACTGATGTTATATTCCCTCAAGGAACATCTTTACATCCTTGGCTATGACAGACACGCTGTTTAATACATAATTTCATCAAGCCATTTAACAAGTTCTAATACATTACTCTCATTTCCTACTTAACTAACTCTATCCAAAAATGATGTAAATTATCTTCAATCAACATCTTTCTGTACTGGCATCCATTCTTCTCTTGGCAATAGGTCCTTCAAGCTCCTTTGAAAAAGGAGAGACCTTCGCTGTCCAAATGGAATCTGACAGCCTCATACCACCTTCAACATGGGGCATATAACCTAGCCTGGTCAAGGAGACTAGTCCATCTTCCTGGATTGGTAAGTAGAACAAGGATGACATGTGACAAAGCCAAACCACCAGGAGTCAGCTTTGGAACTCTTGTTGAAACTACTGGAAGAGAAGGCTCTTTCTTCTATGGGATCCCTGCCATGAAATCATTACAGGCCCACAAACGCTGTAACCATCTTTGCCACTTTGAAATGACTGAGAATGAGGTCAATACAGAGAAAGTCAAAACCTAGGAAAAAACAAAACTAGAAATAAAGGGATATAGATTCTAATATGGATTATGTCTTTGGAGTCCCTATTTAGCCAGCCTGAAGTGGCTTCTTTCTTGGAATTCTTGGTTGCACAAGACAGTGAATCGTATAAACTTTTTTTTTTCTTCACTAAAATCCCTGAGTTAGGTTGCAGTTAAATAAGCAAACAAACAATACAGATCTGATTCCTACTCCCAGTACTCAACACTTTAATTCTCTTAAACCACAACTCTCAGGACAAATACCTTAAACCTTAAGGTGAATTACATGAAAAAAGTGCACAAGTACAGAATCTCAGCCTTTTAATTCAAGTTTAAGATACAATATGCATTTCTTTCTCTCAGGAATTTCCCACCCTCTGATCTCAAGAGTCTTCCTCATACAATTCCTTCATCTGAACCATTCCAAAATCACATTTCAACATCTGTATTAATTAGGGGTCACCAGAGAAACAAAGCTAATGGAATGTTTATATATAAAAATTTCTTAAGAACTAGCTCATGTGGAGGTACAAGTCCAAAATATGTCAGGTAGGCAGTCTTGCTGGAGACACAGTGAGGAGCTGAAGTCCACAAGTCATATGCTGGCAAAATTCCTTATTGCTCAGACTGCAATTTTAAAATGGCTGCCAATAGGAGCTCCTTGGACTAAAGATTCTACTACTTAGGTGGGATCAGTGATTGATGGACTCAAAAGCAGTCCTTATCACACCTAGTTTTCTCCTTGGAAAACAGTTGCATAAGATACACAAAATACTTTATCTACAGCAGGGTACACTGAAGAATAGATTTAACATTATCTTTGCTACCAGAGGCATGAGAAGGGCGAATCACTCCATGGATCCTCCTGCCCTGCCTAAAGCCCCCTCCCACTTCTGTAATGCATGAAATCCTAGATGTCTACCTCCCAACATTTAAGCCTCATCATTCTTCTCCCAAAGTACTTTTTTGACCTCCCCAGGACAGCTTTTAGAATCTTTAGGCCTTGTTGAAAAAATTATAGGGACTAGGAGCTCTAAGGTACTTCTACCAGACTGGTTTCATAAAATTTTGGTTTGACTCCTGTGTAACTCTGGGCAAGTCCGGGACTCTGAGCCTCTGTTGCCTCACTTGTGAAACACAGACAGCAATATTACCTAGCTCATGGGGGTTGGTGAGGTCAAATGAGAGAGCCTACTTCAGTATTTGGCAGAATAAGTGGCATATAGGTAGAATTCCAACTTTACCTATTAAGATGAACTTCAAACACTGCCCCTGTGTGCTGCCATCTCTTTTATGTCAGGACAGGGTGAGGAAAGGGAAGTCGTGGATTAAGGTATTGCTTTAGGGGGAGGGTCCCTAACCCCACGGAACTTCTCAGATTTCTTACCTGCCCCAGGAACAGAGAATGGATTATAGGTGGGATTCTGGTACCAGGGACTCGGGTAAGGCTGCTGGCCCACAGCATGCACATAAAAAAAGGGTCTGGCGTTACCACCCTCAAAGTGTGCGTTGTTTTCTGAAGAGCAGTTCATTTTCTAGGCTGAAAAACAGGTGTTCATATTTAGGAAGGGGCAGTGGCGCTCAGCGCTGCCATGAAGGGAGAAATCATCCTAGGTCCCTTTCAGAACCCCAAGTCTGGGTGGCAGCGTCCTCACCTTCTCTTCCCGCTCGCTGGGATCGGGGACACAGGGCTGCACTGCACTGCGCACCTGGGCAGCGCTGCCCATGGGCGGGGCCGTATCCTGCCAGAGCAAGTCTCTGCTCCCTGAGCGGCAGCGGCAGCAGCAGCCCCAAAGGAAGACTGAGGCCTGGGAGGCCAAGAGGGAAGCTGTGCGGCGCCTGGAGCGCGTCGGGCTACGCCCAGGAGCTCCACTCGAGGGCGGTGGCTTGGGCCCGGCCTGCAGGCTCTGGTCCCCGGCCTGGCCGGCGTGCCTATCCCGCCCCTTCCCGGGTCTGGAGGAGCCCATCCCCTGGGCCCAGTGTCTCCTTACCCACGGCTCACACCTCGCCCCCGTCCCACAAGCCAGTCTACCCTGCTCCCTCGGGACCCGCATCCCCGCACCCCCGCCTGCTCCAAACCTACCTCGGCGACCCGGAGAGTCTCTGGCACCTGGTGCCCTGGCTCCCGCCCTTACATACCCTGGCTAGCACGCGCTGCCTGCCTATTGCGCAGGCGCCGCCCTCCCGCCGCTGGCCGGTGCATGCGCTCTGGACGAGGCCCGCCCCCGGGCTGCTCTGTCCCGAGGCACCTGGAGAAGCTCAAGGGTTTTCCACACCATGCTAGCTCCAGTGCGTGGACGCCCAGGTGTCGGTGCTTCCAGAGGACCGGTCAGTCCCTGCGCCCCCCGCTCTCCCAGACCGGCCCTTCCATTTGAGTGTGTTCAGTTAGGACAGCCTATGTTCCCTCCTCTGAGCTCCTGGTGTCCTTCCTTCCTCGGGCCTAACGCCTCTGACACTTAGGAAGAGGAGCTGACTGAGGACAAGGGGAGAGGAAGAAGGAGGCCAGCCTGGACGGTGCAGGCCTGAGAGGAGGCGATTCACAAAGGAGGGGCGCTCCAGCCTGCTTCCCGCTGAGGCGAGTAAAAAGCAGGGGTGCAGAGGCTCTGGCAGTCAGGGCGCCATTTGGGGCGAGTGAGGGCCAGGGGGCCTGGGGAAGTGGTCTGTGAGCGGGTAGGTAGGCAGTTTGAGGGAGAAGCTGGCGCGCACGGACTCCGCTTTTCTTTTGCACGTGGGAGAAAGGAAAGACTTCTGGGAGAGTAGTTCACGGGAGTCGTGGGGTGGGAAGGAGGATTGTGAATTTTTTGTTTTGTTTTTTAAAGAGAGAGATTTCGGTAGCTTTATGGCCAGAATGGACAGACGGGGAGATGTTACCTATAGTGGAGAGAGAAGGGATGTTAGGAAGATGTTCTGAGGAAGCACAGGGCAAGGTTAGCTAAACCTGGCTGCAATGCTCTGCCTTGGACAGAAGTTACTGGGATAAGAGGGAAATGAGGTCCTCAAGGCAGGGATTTCAGTGCTTTAGCATCGAATGACCTTGATTTTTTCAATGGAGGGCAGGAATAAGACTTGCAGGGAGCACTGAAAATTTGGGACGATTTTTTGTATTACCAGGTAAAAATTGTGTTTGAGCCGAAATAGTGGTGCCTGACACTGGATAAAAGTTTTTCTTTCACATGGAGAAGTCTGGAGGTATGCCACCCATCCAGCGCTGGTCTGGAAGCTCCTTGCTATCACAAAGAACCCAATCTCCTCTCTTTCTGCTCTGCCATCCTTAGCAATGGTTTCCATCTTCAATTTGCCACGTGTTTCAAGATGCCTGTTCCAGGCAGAAAGCAGGGAGTTGAGAGGGCAAAGGGTAAAAAAGAGCACAAGGTTACACAGACGCTTCTCTCTGTCATCAGTTTTGCTTTTAAGGAGCTTTACTAGAAGACCTACCCAACTTCAGATTATACCACTTCGGCTTCTCATGTCTGAAATGTAGTTATCTCTTAGCTGGGCATATTGCTACTTGAAATAAATTGAGATGCTGTGACTAAGGAAGAAAATGGGTATTAATTGAGTTGACAACTAACAATGTCTACCATACTGCTGCAGGGAAGAGAAAAAGCATTCATCTACAGATGTGCAAAAGGATTGCTGGTAGAGTTGAGGGCTGATCTAGAATGAGGATTAGTAATTTGTATTGTCCCTCATCTGCAGGTCTGTCACTTGCTCAGGCATATTCAGTTGCTTGGGAGAGACATTGAACAACTGGATGGATCAAGGACTGGTTTTGCAAGGCTTGTGGAAAGAAGAGCAAGGGTTCAAGAAAGTTCAGTGTAATGGTGAGAAATTAAAGTAATGCATCATGACACATAATATATACCCTGCACTTGCATGACCCTGAACATGAGTGCTTCCTTAAATTTTCACCCTAGGGTGCACCCTACTTAGTGGCTAGTATACAGTCAGGAAGAAAAAGGAAGTGATGTTGGAGAGGAGCTGAACATATGGAGAAAAAAATTAATGGGGATCTTTTACATGAGAGTGAAAGAGCTAGAGGGAGGGGGGTTGCGGTCAGAGAATGGAAATTTTAAATTTAGGATTTTAGAGTTGGAGCAGTTGCAAATTATAACAAGGTCCATAGGGTGGCCAAGCAGTGGTTTGCTGAAATGCTGTGGGGTAAAAATCACTGACACTGAAGAAGAAAAAGACAGGGAAGCTGTAGTTTTGGATGATTCACCCCCTCCTTCATATCATAGTCGTTTAGAGGTTCCTATGTCCTCAGTGAATATGGTAGAGTGACCCACAAAACAAAAGAGAGAAGTATCAGAAGATGTTTGTATTTATAGTTTTATAATATTTTTCTTAAAGAGAGCTCCCCAAATTTTATAATAGTCCCCAGAAAACTTGGATTTTCCACAAGCTGGTGGCCATGTCTCAGCCCTGGAGTACATGAAGAGTGGGAGAAAGAAGAACCCCCTTATGTGGGCAGCTCAGAATAGGAGTGACCTTGGGAGAAAGCAAAGTTCAGCAACTATTCAGTAAATAGATTGAGAGATATGTTGGGATGTGTTTAGCCAAGCAGGACTTCCAAGTCACATAATTGAGAGGGTTGGTAGATAGATCATTAGGGAGCAAAACTGGAATGAGAGTGTCCCAGAAATGTCAGCTAACTGGAAACTTTGGGTTTGGAGCAGTGCTGGAAGATGTCAAGGATGAAACTACCTGGTTTTGTACTACTTGGCCTATAGTGGTACTATCTGGTCCATAGATACCAACTTGACCTCTGGTAGAAGAATGTTTTTGTGCCATCTGTGGCATTTTGTGTGGGGTGGAATGTCTGAAGTTAGGTGATGGTTGCTATTTTTGTGTTAAGGTCCAATTAATGAACTCTGTGTTCTCTGCTTAGGATTCCAAATGGGTATTATTATCATCTTCTCTATTTTAAGATGATGACACCTGAGATTCAGGAAGGTTAAGTAATCTGCCCATACATAGGAAGTTGCAGTCCTAAACTGGAAGGAGATTGGGTTAAGATCTTTGGATCCCTGGGCCCAGTGCCTTTTCTGTTCCTTGGGTGGTCCCTTGACAGTCTGATAGTCTCTGTCTCTCATTAAAGCAAAGTGATTTATACTTTCCCCCTCAGTTGACACACTGGGTTTTAGATTGAAATTTTAAACACAAGTGTAATAATAATAGTCTTGCTTTCCACACCTTGAGGGCTCCTCTTTAACATATCAGTTATAAACACAGCAAGGATGCTCAGCCTTACCAGTGAACCTTCATTCACTTGTTTCCTCCACAAATATTTGAGTATCTACAAAAGGACCAGCACAATTGTAGCTCTAAGGAAACAGCAGGGAAGAAAAACAAAGTTATAGTTCCTAGGGAGCCTACATTTGCAATGAGATGACACTTACAACTTTCAGATTGGGGGGAAAAAATGTAACAAGTCTGGCAACACCAAGGGTTAAGGGGGAAGAAGTGGAGTGGTGGGAATATGTATACACAGCTGGTGACAGTGTAAATTGGTAAAGTCACTTTGGAGAGCAAGTTGACAATATCAAAAAGTTGGAAATGTATCATACTCCATAAACCAGCAATTCTACTTCTAGAAATATTCTAGAAAAAAATCCTGCGTATAAACAGAAGGAGCCATCTATTAAAATTGTTTCTTGCAGTAGCTTTGCTTGTAACATAAAAGAATTGAAAACCACCTAAATGTCCATGAAACAAGAGAATAGATAAGTAAATTATTACATAGATAGATTATGGGGTACTGCATAGGAGTTAAATGAATGAACGAGGATCACATCTGTCTCCATGGATAAATCTTATATACAAGGTTCTAACTTATAATTTCCTTTATAAATATCTTTTTTTTTTTTTAGATTTTTTCTTTATTTATTTGACAGAGAGAGGCACAGTGAGAAAGGGAACACAAGCAGTGGGAGTGGGAGAGGGAGAAGCAGGCTTCCTGCTGAGCAGGGAGCCCGATGCAGGGCTTGATCTCAGGACCCTGGGATCATGACCTGAGCCGAAGGCAGACACTTAACCACTGAGCCACCTAGGCGCCCCTATAAATATCTTTTACAGCTATAGTCTTTCTTATTACTGAAAGTTATTTCTTTCACTTAAATTACATTTTATAACTGTGTTGTTGGTGTATAGGAATACTATTGACTTTTTTTTTTTTAATTTGTGTATAATTGGGGTGCCTGGGTGGCTCAGTTGGTTAAGCATCTGCCTAAGGTCATGATCCCAGGGTCCTCCCTGCTTCTCCTTATCCCTCTGCTGCTCCCTCTGCTTGTGCTCTCTCTCTCTGTCAAATGAATAAATAAAACCTCTAAAAAAAATAATTTGTGGGGGCACCTGGGTGGCTCAGTCGTTAAGCATCTGCCTTCAGCTCAGGTCGTGGTCCCAGGGTCCTGGGATCAAGTCCCGCATCGGGCTCCCTGCTCAGTTAGGAGCCTGCTTCTCCCTCTCCCACTCCCCCTGCTTGTGTTCTCTCTCTCGCTGTGTCTCTCTCTGTCAAATAAATAAATAAAATCTTTATAAAACATAATAATTTGTGTATAGTTGACATGTTATGTTATGTTAATTTCAGGTGTAAAACCTAGTGATTTGACAAGTTTATACATTGTGCTTATGTTCACCACGAGTATAGCTCCCATCTGTCCCATTACGTTGCTGTTACAATACCACTGATTGTATTCCCTATACTCTGTTTTTATTCCAGTGATTCAGTCATTCCATTACTCAA